ATCACTCTCTACTTGCCTGTCACCAACACAAGCTTCATGGAGGTTTGATGGCAGCTCATTTTGGATTATTGCATATCCAGAAAAGATTGAAGGTTCTGTTTTCGTGGATTGCAAGTTTATGTGACAGGTGATTGGATTTGATGGAATAAATTACCACTACCCTGCATGCCTTCCCTGGGCTATGTGCATATACGAAGGGCTGCAAGCAAGTCCTGAAGCAGCCCAAGGACGCTGAGTGGGGATGACAAGAACATGGCAGCCAAGCTGCGCCATGGTGTTAAACACGGACTCCAATTACCTGCTAACAATGGCTTAGGCTTGGCAAGTCCAGAGTTGATGAATGTGAGGTTAGCCAAAACAGGGTAGGGGACAGTGGTGGTTTCAGAAACTTGAGGTGAGGAGTGCACGGCCATAGCCCAGTTGGTCAGGCACCTGTGTTCTACAGGTTCGTGTCTCGCAAGACACAGGCAGCGTGATGGAGTCCAAGTTGGCTCGGTCAAGTGCGTTGGCACTCACAGAAAAATCCCGCACTAGGAATCTGCGATATTGGACTCAGAGCGCATTCACATCCCGGCCAGGTACCCCACGGGGGGACGGTCGCAAGGCCGTGTAGATGTTGTATGGGGGTCCCTGGCCGTAGAGCATCCTGCTGGCTGTGCTTACAATGTACACAGTTGGGAGAGGGGGGTTGCTCAGCGATTGGGTACCATTGGGAATCTCCCGGCTTGGAATGCCCCCACTCTACCCTGGGTGTGTAGTGGGGGAGTGATTAAAGCACTGGCCGCCAGGGTAGGGCCTACCTATACCTTAGCCTCCACAACCTTTTTGGGAAAAAGGAAAAAAACGAAATATGAGAATGGAAAGGGAGTGTTTGTAGAAACCACTTACTTGTTGCATATTCTTCATAATTCGTCACTGAAGGTTCTTCATTGTTGTTCTCAGAGAAAGACCATCTCATAGATGTCACTTCCCAACCTGCCAGCTCATCACTTCGCTGAATGGTTTTACCAACTCCACTAACCCCCACTGAGTTCCCATTGTTGGCCTGAGATTGTTGAGAATCAGTTTGGCCTCTGTACAAACGGCTCTTAACAATGTATGAATACAAGTCCATCACGTTCACTTCGATCTGTAATTGCTGTGGAACGACCAAACAAAACCAAACGTCTCAAAGGGTCAGTGAATAATCTTCACATTCACATCAGTCAGGCTCATTACCTGAAACTAACATTATTAACAGGGCTGCCCAAGGACCACAGTCGGAGATTGGAGCTCGATGTGTGTCTTTTTTTCTATGATGAAACTAGTTTCAAGAAGCTCACAGCAACAAGATCAGACATGGAAAATCACAATGCTCTATGAATGTCAGTGCAATGAACCCAGATCGTGAAGACACTTGTCAACAATGCAAGACTAGATAGATATCAACCTGTCGATGATTGTCAATAATCATAATCATGTCCAGATAGAATGAGATGGGGAAACATACACAGACGAAAGAGCGAGAGGGGAGAATAAACTTAGAGGGGAGAAGTAAACAATGCCCACTCCTGCTTCGGGCTCCCTCCTCAATCACCACCTCAATAATCAGTAGTCCGAACACAAATCTGAAGTTCTCTCTCAATGTGCCACATGGCACGTCGATCAGACCCTTATGAGCATACTGGAGCAATGTCGACCTCAAGATAACCAAGTGCGTTTCCACAATCATCCCACAGTCATGATCTCCTCCCGAGTGACGATGAATCAGAACAGCAGTGCCGGTCACGTAGCCCAGCCACGTCAGAAGATAGAACATGTGGCAGTGGCCACGTCAGCATCAACGCGTGGCAGCTGCCACGTCAGCATGCCTTGACGACAATAGCCAGCCAGCCACCATGCCGAGCTAGCAATGCGTCGCCGTAATATCCCAAGTGCCAGCACAAAGCCAGTGCCCACCAGCGTCCCCACGTCCAGCCAGCGTCGTGTCGTCAACTCGTGAAGTCAGCATTGACGCAAGACTGAATGAATCTCAAAGCTAACGAGTTAGCGCTTATGTAGCGTTGACGCGGGGTCTGGACCCCGGATACTGGAATCCTCAGCCATTGAGATGTCAACGCAAATGACGGCCCAGGTAGACAACTGAAGAAGATAGACAACGAGAATCATTTGGACAAGTATAGGTAGATAAGGTCATTCGGGAGAGGAAAAGTCAATCATGGATAGAAAGCTAACTCCGTTTGACCTTATCTGCTTTATTTCAACTGAACTCATTTTGTGGTGCACACATAATTAAAGTTTTTCAAAACGCCGAATCATTTTTTTTTCCATGCAGGCGGGTAAGAGGGAAAGAAAGACAATCCTTTTCTCTTTTTTCCAACAGGCATAATCAATCTCCTTTGCAAGCATCCTTCTACCTACCTGCACAACATGAAAAGACAACAAGTTCAAGAGAGAACCAGTGCATTCCCATACTCAAGTGAGACTTCTTCATTCACATGCATGACTCACACAACTTTCCTTTACCTTTCCAACGAACATTCAATGAACTGGGTCAAGCAAAGTGTGGGTTCACCCAGGTGTGAATGGAAATCTCAGTCAATAAACTGACCGACTCACCTTGATTGAAGTTGTAAAAATGGTCTACTCAAGAAGACCGTATAGAATCGCGCCGCTTGACGAGAAGGTCGTCACAACATGTCGTCAGCAAAGTGATCCACACCACTCCCTAGAACGATCGCTTGCCGCGACACCCTCTCAACACACAATCACCTCAACAACTTGACAACGTCTCAATGCCGCCGTCACTCACCTCCAATGTCACCGCGTCACTGTGGCGCCACGCTCAAACCACTTCAAAACGCACTACCATTTCAGCAGCACCTTCCCAGCGCCAATGCCTAGCCACCGCTTTACGTAGTCAGTGCAAAAATACTGCTGCCACAGCCATGAAAAACCGGCAACGCTTCCGCACCACTGTCATTAAAACCAGGGCTGCCGCCGCAGAAATCCAGCAACAATTCCGCACCACTGCCAAAATCTCAGTGTCATCGCCACAAAAAATCGGCAGTGCTTTCACGTCACCGCCAAAATCTCAGTGCCGCCGCTGCAAACAATCGGCAACGCTTCCACGTCACCGCCAAAAAGCGCCGCCGTTGTCGTGCCGAGCGAACAGCATCACCCCAAAGCCACTCTAAAATGGCTGCCGACGCTGCGCAAAAAGGGCAAAGTCTCCCCTGCACCACTTGCCGATGACCTGCTGCCGCCGTGCAAAGTGGGCAGAGTCTCCCCTGCACCACGCAGCCCGGTAGCTATGGCAGCCTCTCCTCTCCTCTCACACTGCAGACCTCCACTCCTCTCTTCCTCTTACTCGCTGACCCTCAACACTCTGGCAGCATAATGCTGCTCTCCACTCCACACTCAATCAGAATGTGGGCAGCACCTCAACTGAGTGAGGATGCTGTTGGCCAGCCCTGCTTTTATAGCTGGGCTGGAGCGGTGGGCAGCCACTTAAGGCTCAACCAAAAAAACGGGGTTGAGCCTAACCCTCGATTTGAACTTTGATCGAGGGCTGAGAATCTTGATGTTCCCCTAGGAACATCAAGTCCCTGGCTTTGGCAACGTACCTGGCCACTTTCCCCGCCCAGGTGCAGCCACGAAGTGGCTCAACAATCTGCTGTCACTTCAAGGTCCAGATGCTTCTCTGCCCTGCATCTGGACCGCGGTCACGAATGAATTCGTGGTTGCCCCCTTTTTTTTTTTCCAACTCTTCTTCTCCCCTCTTTCCTTCTTTTCTTTCTACCCCCTATATTTTCCCTGAACCCGCGGCCACATACGTGGCTGTTGTTTCTTCCCCTTCGTTTCCTTGGGCAGGGGGCAGCTCGTTTTTACAAAACGAGCAGCCTCACCCACACAGTCATTTCCCTCAGTCAAACTAGAGTCAAGCTCAACAGGGACTTAGCCCCCTTGCCCCAAGCCTTTTCCTCTCTCTTTCTCTGTCTCTGTCTCTCTCTCTGTCTCTCTCTCTCTCTCTCTCTCTCTCTCTCTCTCTCTCTCTCTCTCTCTCTCTCTCTCTCTCTGCCCCCGACAGTCACGACGTTCGTCAGCGACGAGTGAACCAACGGGATGCTCCAGAAAGCCGTTGCAAAGAATCCCTCGTAACTCAAGTACAGGGCCCCAAGGCCTGAGCCCGCATACAGCCACTATCAGTGGCAGATTCATCTGTCGCGGCACTACGGAGGCCCAACGAAACAGCCTGGCTCATAATGCTTACCCGTTCGTTCAGAAACGAACGGGTACACCAAACAAAACCCAAATAAGAATAAAAAAAAAATAATTTAAGAAAAAATCTAAAACAAAATCTAAGAAAAAAAAGAAAAGTTAACAACCCTATCTAACATGGCTGCCCGTTTTCAACGGGCGCCTGTCACATCACTGGGAAGTTTTAAGTTCCCAGTTACTTTAACGCGCGCCAGGTGGCGCGCCACCTTCTAGTTCTTTAGTGTTTTTTTTTTTTTTTTTTTTTTCCCCAAAGGCTGCTTTGCGTCGTTTCGCTCTTGTGGCACAAAAAAAAAAAAAAAAAAAAAAAAAAAAAAAAAAAAAAAAAAAAAAAAAAAAAAAAAAAAAAAAAAAAAAAAAAAAAGACTTACCTTGCAACGCTGCCCTGCCAACCTCAATAAAGCCCATATCTGGGCACTCACACGTTCACATACGGTGTCGGGACCGGTGGGTCCCGAATGAATTCCCGTCACTCGAGAACTTGGATTTGGCTGATTTGTGCATATCAGAGAAAAATCGGGAGCAGTGACGAGACGCGGAAAAGACGGGCCGTCGGGGGAGGGCGGCCTATCGGGTAGAAAACGACGAGGGAAGCTGGCAGAAACAGGAAAGACGGCTACGAATACGCAAATGCAGAAGACGCAGCTTGTGAACAGGGAAGTGTCGGGAGCAGTCGACGGAACCAAGTATCAGAGGCCACGAAGAACCAAGTATCAGAAGACGTCGGCGAAATAGCCGGCAATTGGACGACGAGGACGCCAGACGGACCAAGGGAAAACAGGGACGTCACACGGGGCGAAGCCGGAAAAGACGGGAGGAACTAAGATTAGCAGAAAATCACGAGAAAGTCGGGGCGTCGATGGAGAATCACTGACAAAATGAAAAGGAGCGGGCGTGACGCGAGAAATTCGGAAAGGACCTGCGATGCCCCAGAGGAGTCCTGAACTGAATGGGGTAGACGGTAAAAATAGCCAGGCGGCGCCTACGGACGGCCCCATCTGGACCATGTGTCAGGATGGGAAAAATACACCAAGTACCGCCACGGCAAGCGCCGGCGCGGGAGGCCGCGGGAAAAGTAGTGCAGTAGCGGCAAGGAGGCCTGGCTGACAATCCGGAATGGTCGGGGCCAGCCGGGCCAAGAAAAATAAAGTTCCAGGAGGGCCGCAAGGAAAAAGGGCTGCCCGGGGAAAATCGGAGTGAAAGGGACCTAGACGGGGAGTAGCGGCGGCCAAATGGAGCCCCTAGAGCCGTGGGGGTGCCCAGACTGCAGTCCGAGGCACAACGACCATGTGCCGGCTGCAAAAATCAGACTTTGGGTGGGGTCCAACAGCTAGAAAGAGGGAAAATAGTTGTTGGACACTTGTCCCAGCAGAAATAAAGGAGGAAGGAGAGAAAAGGGGGAGAAAAAGGAGAAAGAAGAGACAGAGGGGGAGGAAAAGGTGGAGAAAAAAATGCCGCCAGGTTGGGACTGCAGCAGTAGGGACTGGCAGGTCTCAATGATGACCTCATCCCTCCAAGCTTCTAGGAGGGAGGTCCGGATTGCAGAGATAAGGCCTTGGGGCATTATCTCTGCAATATCTAAGTTAAATCAGCAAAAATACAGAAAAATGCTGATGTGAGTTGGCCGGCTATTTTTTTGGCCTTAGATCTGAGATCAGATCTTGTGAAGGAGGAGATCTAGCCGTTTTTGTGGGCTGACACAAAACGGCTAGCTCCGGAATGAGGTGGCAGCAAAATGGAGGGAAAACAAAGCAAGGAAAAKGACAAAACTGGGAATTTGGCCCAAGGGTTAGGCCAGATTCATCAGAAAGTTGAAAATTGAAGCAAAGGCCTCAATTTTGAGGGTAGGGAGACTTGAAAAGAGGCCGGAGCATTGTGGAC